CCAACTCTCTGCCCCTGCGTAGACGTGCACTGCTCTTCTCATCAATGAGACCTTTGTGTGCCATGGGGCCGGAGGATATTACTGCGTGAGAAAGAACCACAGGAAACTCCCATCATTTTTTCTAGAGTCTGAGGGGGAAAAATGTAAATGTGTAACGGGGCACACTCTGTAGTCTCCTTTTGTTAATTTATGAATTGGAAGATGAATGTGGATTTATTGGAATAGTATAATTAAGTGTCACCGTGGTACGGAGCATAATTATGACCAATATAATAAAACAGAGAAAGAAACAATTTCCCTCCTGAATGGCATCATCCCTATAAGCCTTGCTTCCTCAAAGCTTTGCATTCATTTCCCTTAGATATAATAAATAAGGCAGGCACAAATAAAGAACGTGAGCTGCAAAGGAAGATGGAGTGATCTGCAATTCACGTCCTGTCTTGGAAGTGAAATTTTTGAGATAATATTGAAGATGAAAACCAACAAGACACCTCTGGGCTAAGAGAGGCTGTTCTTGTGTTACACTTCTGTTTATCACCAGTATCCCCTTGTCCTATTTTTTTCTCCTCTTTTCTTCTCTTCTTCCTCCTCCTCCTTCTCTGCTGGCCAATCCCTCTGAAGGTGATGATTTGTTCAAGAATAGGTATGTGATGCAGGCTAAACCAATTCAAGGCTTCCCTGGGACTTTGGTTGGTGATAGAAACCCAGAAGTGCTCTCATATCTAGAAGATCCATCTAGAATCCAATGGCAGAGCAGCCCCAACAGTGAGATGGACAGGTGCCTTACCTGAGTACCTGCACTCAACCATGCTCGAACCCGGGGCTCTCTAGACCCTTCTGTTCTGTCAACTAATCAGTTCCTCTTTCGGCTTGATCCCATTAGACTTGGCTTTCTGTCATTCGCAAACCGAAGATTTCTGAGTAATGTGCCACGCAAGTAAGGTAAATACTGCCACAGTGGGGAACATGTGCTCATTTATCAAACATTTAGTGCCTGCTTCCTTGATGCCAGAAAGACCCTTTGCACAGCAAAATTCCATGCCTTATTTGAATCACTGTCAAACAAAGAGAACACATCTGTGTGTTAGTTCAAGGATATCTGACATATCTTTGGGTGTCTGAAGAAATGTGTGAGTGTGTGTGTGTGTGTGTGTATGCTTTTTCTTCCATAACTACGCAGTAGTAATATGACCATGTGTTGGGGTGCCTGCATCATAAAATATAATGACATAATTCATGAATCTTTGCCAACACTTCATTTTCACGAGGGCAGGAAGAACTACTTTCGTGTTCATGGGCTGATGAGCTGTGTGACCTTAGGCAGTTTATTTAGCTTCTCTGAGCTTTCTGTGTTCATCTGTAAAGGGAAGATAATCTGTATCAACTGATTGTTGTGAGTATCAAACAAACAAATTCATGTGAAGTGCTTAGCATAGTGGCTGCCACACAATAAAATCATTCAATATTCAATAATTCAATAGCCATCATTAATATAATTGTCACCATGGTTTCCATCAGCATCATCATGATGAAGTGCGCTTCACCAGTAGTTTGAATAATTTGCACGCATGTAGGGCTTTATGTACCATTTGCAAACTACTTTCTCACCCAGTTTGATACAGTGAGCCTACCCTGGTGCGCAATACCCATTTCACGTTTTGGCTTCTTGCAAGTTCTTTCAAAGGTTTCCATGATATCTGAGTCTAGTATCCAATATAAGGGACTGAGAAATGCCTCCATTTCAGCAGAAGAGTTAAAAAAAAGTTTAAAAAAAGGAAAACAATTTTAGGACAAATGTGGTCTGGTCCTGAATTCAGTCTTTAATTAAGGCTGGAAGTTTAACTGCTTCATAAAACTTTGGTTACAGCTGTTACACCTGTGAACAGAGCTAATCAGGGAAGATGAAATGTTATTTTGACAGGAGTGCCTTCCTTTTTTTTCCCTAATAGATCACAGATATGAAAAAGAAAAATCTGAAGAAAACTCTTTTTTTTGTCACTGGTCATTTAAAATATTCTTTTTTTTTAAAAAATTTTCTTCAAGTTGGACCTCCTGAAAGACTATGTGTGTTTCATGTTACCAACATAAGCAGATTGTTGAATGTGATGCATTTAAATGTTTTCTTTGTTTGTGGAATTTTTTTTCACAAAGGCATGCTTTCAAAATGCTAAAATTATGGATCCATTGTAAGATTTTTTTTTTTTTTGCACAGGAAAATACATTTGAATTAACAACTGGGTAAAAATCCTCAATTACATTATTTAAGGGAAGGTTATACTTTTGATCTCACACAAATTTCTAGAATAACGAAAGGCCTTCATTCACCAATTGAGCAAAACTTGCTAATAATTCTCTTTTTGCTTTGGATCAGGGTGTTGTTTTATCTAAGTCCAGGAAGACATAGCTTCTTTATTAACTGCTAAGGGGGACAGCGATGCTGTGGAAAGTGGGAGTCATACCATTTTACAGGTATACATTTTAATGATCTCTTGCATAAAAAAACAAAACCAAACCAGCAGGTATATAAAACAAAACTTTCCTGGGTATTTAGATAATTTCTTCTTGGTCAGAGCTCCTGCCAGAAGCGGGAAGAAGTGCTCAATTCAGAATTTTTCCCCTCTGGTTAGGCTATTCCCGTAGCCCTGTTAATAAGTGACTTCTGATGTTGCGATATTAAAAAAAAAAAAAAAAAAGTCAAGAAGTGTTTTTCATTCTGTATCATTGATTTACTGATTTATTCCACACCTAAATTCTTAGAGTAGTTTATCAAGGGTACTTCTGCATCCTTCCTTGTACCTGACAAGGTGAATGCCAAATTCTGGACTTATATATTAACACTCATAATTATGGACAGCGATCATTATATGAAGATGAGCCATAATATTTAGGTTTTATGAATGCTTGATGTATTTTGAAAGATATGGAGTCGGATTCGCCTAATGTTTAAGCGATTGCTTAATAGTATATCAAGCATCCTTAGAAGCTCTATTAAGGTATGCTGCAGAGGGATGCCTGGGTGGCTCAGTTGGTGAAGCGTCTGGTTTTGCTCAGGTCATGATCTTGGGGTCCTGGGATCCAGCCCTGCATCAGACTTCCTGCTCAGCGACGAATCTGCTTCTCTTTCTCGTTCTCACTCTTTTTCAAATAAATAAAATCTTTTTTTAAAAAAAGATATGCTGGGCGCCTGGGTGGCTCAGTTGGTTAAGCGACTGCCTTCAATTCAGCTCAGGTCATGATCCTGGAGTCCCGGGATCGAGTCCCACATCGGGCTCTCTGCTCAGCAGGGAGTCTGCTTCTCCCTCTGACCCTCCTCCCTCTCATGCTCTCTGTCTCTCATTCTCTGTCTCGCAAATAAATAAAATCTAAAAATAAATAAATAAATAAATAAATAAATAAATAAATAAATAAATAAAAATAAAAAAAGATATGCTGCAGAATTTTTTGGTAATATCCAGAAGAGGTATGTTAGCATTGGTGGACAATCTGTCCTAGAGAAAGAAGCCACGGGGACAGGTTACCCCATTTAGCTTCACATGATCAATGAACAGTCTAGGTAACATACTGCCAAGTATTCCTTAAGTGATTCTCAAATTTTAAATTTAAACTCAGCAAATACTACTCATATGTTTCAGGTGGGTGATATATGCTCAGCTTGATATTCCATACATAAAGGGAACCTGGATGTTTTTAGGTCTCATAGCTGTGGGCACACATAAGGCCAAATTAGCCTTAATAGCTCTTAAGAGCCTCTCCTGGACTGCCCACAGGATGTCCTGCGCATGCCCAGTCCCCTCCACCGCTCTATCTGGGTGCCACTGGGCTCAGCAGTTCCCCATTGCAGCTCAGCATGGAGAGTCAGAGCTACTGGGAGGTCTGTGGTGGAGTGTGTATGTGGGGGGGTGGGAGGGGGAGGTCCTTCTGTCCGCGTGTCACACTTCATCACTTCAGCCTGGAGGCGACACAGTTTGGACCTGAGTCTCACAGTGGCTTTCATCAAAATAGACCCGTCAGCCGCATCCTGCACTGTCTCTCAAGTGTCAGACTGAGTTGGGGGGCCTGGGCAACACACGGCGTCCTCCGCCATGTACCTGGCTTTTCATGTCGCCATGGCTGTCTGTTCTCCAAAATTTGTCTCTTTCAGTCCAAGCCCCCAACCACATTGGACCTGAACTCATGCATAGAAATGGGAATCCCAAGATAGGGAGTTTGTGGCTCCACCAGTCTCAGCGTAAATTTTGCTACCGTTAGTATATTTTATTTTTAATGGATCATTTTGGATGATGGCCTGGGTATAGCGATGATTTGGGCTCAACAGGTACACAGACCCAGACATTTAATAAAAAAGCTTCTTTTGTGATTTTGTGGTTACCACGATATTGAACTCTTAAGAAATTTACGATGAATAAGTGGTGGTTGTAGGTACAGAGACCATCACAGAAAGTGAATAGGAATTTATAGACATCTGTGAAAGATCAAAACAACAAGCTCACCATGATGATTTGTCGGGGTGGTTCAGATATCGAAGAGACAGAGTGTTCAGTAATCAGTGACTTCTGCATGATATTTGCATAGAGAGAACTTTAAAAAGGTTACATTTCTTTTCTACTTTCATATTTACTTTGTGTTAAGGTTATAGGATCTCACTAGCAATGTTGCTGATGCTATTTTTATGAACTCCCAAACTCCATGTTTAAATGTAGCCGGATGGAAATTTTGAGCTACAGCAACAATAAATATATCTGACATCCTTGTGACTTTCAAGTTCTGCTATGCCTGAGAGTCAGTGAAGGCTGTTTTTTTGCCTTGAACTCTGAAGGAAGAAAGAAACTTTTGTTTATAAATTTCAGAGATTTTTGTCTTTGCACTTACCACGAAGTCAAATGCAGATATAATCCACTTTAAGCGCTTTTGGCAAAATTTCAAATATGCCGGTTTTTTGATAAGGGGAAAAAAAAAATCCCAACTTTTTGTTAACACAAGTCCTTTACTCTATGTTGCAGTATAGGACTTCTGTTGGTGATCTTGTGGACTTACGGAATACTGATCCTCTACAGGAAGTAAGAGGCAGATATGTAATCTGGGCCATCTTTCTGATCCATTTTAGTTATGTCTGATTCTAAATTGAGTTATATAGAATTTAACATAACAGGACCCTGTGTCTATATTCTTTATGCCTCCTTTCTAAAAATGTAAAATTTTATATGCCAATCTGAGTTAAATGATCTGAGGGCATTCAAAATCAAAGATTATTTGACTTGTGTTCCAGTGTGTTCTATATTGGACTACTTTATGAAGATATTTGGTAACAGAACAAGTGTGTGTGTGTTTGTGTGTGCATGTGCACATATTTTTTTTTAACTCACCATGCTCAGATGTGTGAATGTTAGACGGTAAGCACCCCAAAGGGCAGGTTTGGGTGGTGGTGTTCACTTTGTTAGCCCCATAACACCTGATGGAAGGCTCTTGAGAAATAAAATGCCAGTTTATAATTCTATAGACTTTATATTCCTGAAGATCCTTTGGTGACCTCTCTTACAACCAACCATCTGGTGAGATGGATCAGACAAGTCTTACAATCATTACTTCACAGATGATAAATCTGAGCTTCAGAGAGAGCTATTTGTGATTCTTTCCATGTCTTCTACTCCAATTTTTTCTTGAGTATGAGAGCTGGAACTTTACATTGAATGGGAGGAGCCTCACTATACAAGGGTGATGGGGGAAAGGGCATGTCTGAATGCATGAGGCAGGTTGATGATGGTTGATAGAAGCCTTCCTACAGAGCCACAGGACTTCTCCATCACCACCTGCACCTCACCTTGGAGCACTGAACTACATTCACAACCACCATGAGCAATGGTTGGCAATGAGGTGTCCAAATGGTTATGGGAATGCATCTCTGGCTTTTCCAGAAGTGGTCCCCAGGGTGCTTGCGGTGTGTACTAGTTTTTCCTGAAGCTTCAGGATCAGTGTTTGAATTCCTGGACCAATTTACCTAACTTCTACCTGGTCTCACTCATTACAGACTGAGTTATCTCTCAGATGGACAGGAAATTGTACTACAAATGGGTCAACAACAACAAACAGGACTGATTGGGCACATGCTACCTTGGATCTTTGGGTTACCTATATTTATCTAACAAAATGTTCTTACCTCTCAGAGTACTAGTGAGAGACTTAACATTTCACTAGGTCTTGGGTAGACTTCTGGGATGGACAATGTAACAATTTGGCTTGTCCCTTCCTAATTCGTTTCCATCCAATTCAACAAATAGTTTAGTGAGCACATATTACAACATGCCAGGCAGCTGTGCTGATACTGGGAATATGGAGGAAAGTGATACATGCACTGTTCTTGCCTTCATGGAATATATAAACTAGTGGGGAAAGATGGCAAGAAAGGAATGAAAGTCGGATTCGTGTGATGAAAAAAAGCAGTCCCATGAAATTGGTGTATTTTTCCAGGGAGGTAAGCATGCTGGAACTTTCTGGTTATTTCAGTTTAGATTGCCTGAACTTCTTAATGTGCTCACAGGTAAGCTCTGGTCTTAGTAGCTATAAAATGTTGTGAAAGTTCCACGACCTCTTTGGACTACAGTTCTGTCATTTGTGAAACATAGGGGTTGACTAGATGATTTTGTAACTCAACTCATCATGGTGGACATTGCATAATGTAAGGAAGTGTCAAATCACTATGTTGTACACCTGGAATGAATATAACATTGTATGTCATCTATGCTTCAGTTGAACCAAACAAACATAAATAAAAGTCTTTTCAGTGAAATGTTGAAAGCTCTTCCTTTAAGGTCAAGAACAAGACAAGGGTGCTCTCTCTCACCACTCTTGTTTACATAGTTCTGGAAGTCCTAGCCAGGGCAATTAGGCAAAAAACCAAAACAAAACAAAAAAAGAAAAACAAAAAACAAATACAAAACAAAAAAACAAAAGCAAAACAAAAAAACCCCACCCAAATCAGAAAGAGAAAAGAGAAAGAAAGAAAGAAAGGCATCCAAATTGGAAAGAAAAAAGTAGAATTGTGTCTGCTTGCAAGTGATATGATCTTATATGTAGAAAACCCTACAGACTCCACCAAAAACCTCTTAGAACTAATAAAAGAATTCAGTAAAGTTTCAGGATACAAAATCAATATACAGAAATCAGTTGTGTTTCTATACACTAACAACAACATATCTGAAAAATAAATGAAGAAAACAATTACATTTACAATGATACCAAAACCAAAAACAATAAAATACTTAGAAATAAACGTAACCAAGGAGGTGAAAGGTCTCTACCTGGAAAATTATAAGACTTTGATGAAAAAAATTGAAGAGGACAAATAAATGGAAAGATAGCCCATGCTTATGGGTTGGAAGAGTTAATATTATTAAAATGTCCACACTCACAAAGCTATCTATAGATTCAGTGCAATCCCTATCAAAATTCCAAAGGTATTTTTCACAGAAATAGAAAAAACAATCCTAAAATTCATATGGAACCACAAAACACACCAAATAGACAAAGCAATGTTGAGAAAGAAGAACCAAACTGGAGGCATCATATGTCCTGATTTCAAATGGTGTTACAAAGCTATTGTAATCACAACAGTATGGTAGTGGCATAAAAATAGACAGATAGACCAATGGAAATAAATGGAGAGCCCAGAAATAAACCCACACAAATACAGTTAACTACTGTATGACAAGGGAACCAAGAATACTCAATGGAGAAATGGTTGTCTCTTCAATAAGTCATGTTGGGAAAACTGGATAATTATATACAAAAGAATAACATTGGATCCTTATCTAACACCACTCATAAAAAATTAACTCAGAATGGACTAAAGATTTAAACATAAGACTCAAAACTGCACAACTCCTAGAAGAAACCATAGGGAAAAATCTCCTGGACATTGGTCTTGGCAATGATTTTTTGAATATGACACCAAAGGCACCAACAGCAAAAGCAACAATAAACAAGTGGGACTATTTTAAACTAAAGGTCTTCTGCACAGCAAAAGAAATAACAAAGTGAAAAGGCAACCTATGGAAGGGGAGAAAATATTTGCAAACCATATATCTGATGAGGAATTAATATCCAAAAATTTTAAGAAACTCATAAAGCTCAATAACAGAAAACCAAACAGTCATTTAAAAAACTAGCAAAAGACCCAAATTGACATTTTTCCAAAAAAGACGCACAAATGGCTGACAGGTACATTGAAATGTGCTAAATGTCACTAATCGTTAAGGAATGGAAATCAAAATCATAATGGCATCACCTCACACCTGTTAGAGGGGCTGTTATAAAAAAGATGAGATGACAAATGTTGGGGAGGAGGATGGAGAAGAGGGAACCCTCGTGCTCTGTTCGTGGAAATGTCAGTTGGCAGAAACACTGCAGAAAACAGTTTGGATGCTCCTCTAAAAAAAAAAAAAAATAGACTACCCTATGATCTGATGATCCCACCTCTGGGTATATTTCCAAAGGGAATGGAATCAGGATCTCAATGAGCTGTCTGCATTCCTGTGTTCAATACAGTATTATTCACAACAGCCAACAAAGGGAAATAACCTTAGTGTCTGTCTATGGATGAAGGAATAAAGAAGGTGTGATATATATATATATATATATATATATATATATATATATATATATATATTTCTGGGAATCTAATGTGCAAGAATGGAAATAATACAGTAGTATAAATATTACTTAGCCACCTGAAAGAAGGAAATCCTACCATGGGGATATCAAACACGGATGGACATTGAGGGCATTGTTTTAAGTGAAATAAGTCAGATGTGAAAAACAAACATCATATGATCTCATTTACACGTGGAAGCTAAAAAAGCTGAACTCATAGAGTCAGAGAGTTAGAATGGTGTTTACCAGGGGCTGGGGGCTGGGAGAAATGGGGTGATATCGGTCAAAGATACAAACTTCCAGTTATAATATGAACAATTTCTGGGCATCTAATGTACAACATGGTGACTACAGTTAACAACACTGTATTCTGCACTTGAGAGTTACTAAGAGTAGATATTAAATGTTCCCCTCCCCCTAAGCAAGGTAATTATGTGATGTGATGGGGAGGTGTTAACGAACCCTATTGTGTAATCATTTTGCCACATGCATGTGTATGAAATCATCATGTTGCACACCTTAAACTTACACAATGTTATATGTCAGTTTTACCTCAGTAAAGGTAAAGGGGCGGGAAGGCTGTTCAGTCCTAAGTATTTTTGTTGTATTGAACAATAGCTAACATCTATATTGCAATCGCTAACATCTATAAAAGGCTACGTATGTGCCAGGCACTGGCCAAGTGGCTTTTCTGGCATTGTTACATTTAAAAAGTAATTTTTGTGACTCTGCTATGTAAACCTGACTACCGTATCAAGAGGGGTGTTAGTAACCATCAAGGGAGCAGATGGCTTTGCCCAGATATCTTTCCAGATTTAGATATTTGAGATCCTTTGCTAGCGAACTTGCCTCACATATGGAAGCATCTATGTGCCGTTTATGTAATATTCATACCTAAACTCTTTGTTCATGGTGAAAAATGATCCATTTGATGCCTTGCGTAATTTAAAAGATCTCTCAAGACAAATAAGCAGTTTTCAAGGCAAAACGAAGTCCTTCGTCTGTTATAGCTATTTATTTAAATGCCCCATATCTTCCCCGTCTCCATCAAGTATCTCCTTTTGCGAAGTTGTTCGGTCTTTTTGGAATTCCTTTGTGTCATTTTCCGAAGTTATTGAACTTAATTACTGTGTGACTTACTAGGCAGACGTGGTCTTCGGCTACCTGCTAGGGATTAGGGCGCCCCCCTTTCAGTCGTGTGAGCGGGGGAATGAGCGATGCCCTTGCAACGGGCCAAAAGGCACACACTGGAAGAAAGAGGTGGGGTGTTCGATGGCCCCCTAACGTGGTAAATTAGTTAACTAACCATGATGATGATAATGACAATGACAACAGAAATGATGATGTAGAACGTGAGGATGGTAGAGGTGGTTGTGATTGTGGCCATTGTGGATGGAGCATCCCAGAAACTTGGTTTGCATAACTATCTTATTTAACGCTCACAACAACCAAGTGAATGTGGTGCTAATGTATCCATCGAGAGAGGATGAAACTGAGCCTCAGCATTTGTATCCACCTGTTGTAGATCACACTGGCAGTAACCAGACAAGCTGGGATTTAAACCCAGTTCAATCTAATTCCAGATCTTTGGCTTTTAGTGACTCTACGGTACTAATTGAAGACCTTGGCACCAGGATTCCTTTCTAAGAGACTGAGGTGAGTCTCCATTATGATTTAAATGGAGTTATTATTTATTATTGAAATATTATCAATCAATAAATAGGAAATTCTCCCGAAGTCAATCGGAGAAAGTAATGTTATGTAAATGTCACAAACGTTTAGCAGGTGAGTGTTCAGTCTGTGTGTGGGAAGGCAGCACGATGCAGGGGAAAGAACCTGGGTGTGACGTTGGCTTGGCCAGGACCTGGCCCCACATGGCCAGCTGTGTGATCGTGGCAAGTCACTTACCCTCTCTGAGCCTCAGTTTCTTTAGCTATAAGGTGAGGCTAAAAATAGCCACCTTAAAGGACTGCTGGAAACTTTGGAGATCATAAATGACAAATCTGTACAGTGCCTGGCAAGGTAAGAAGTGATATCATTTTAGTTTCCTGCTTACCCACCACCAGTTCCAATCAAGCTTTTGGGATAAAACTCTAACTCCTTAACTCAGCCTAAAGGCCCTGCCTGATTTAATCCCTGCCTGTAACCAGCCTTATCTCTGGACATTCTCCTTCTCACTGGGCTCAGATGGGCCAAGCCCATTACGCTTCCACTCTAGGACCTTTGTATATGCTCTGTCCTTGGTTGCAAATTGTCTTTCATCTTTTTATTAACTCACTACTCTTTCTTATCTTTTAGGTCTTGGCTCAAATATCACTTCCCCAGGGAAATCTTCCCTGAACCCTAGAAAACATCAGGCCCCCTCTTACATAATCCCTGAGCTCCTTCTTATTTGGGGTACTCCTCACAGTGGTAATTAAGTACTTAAGTGAGTACTCGATAAGGATTCATTGAATGAATGAAAAAAAGAATAAATGAATTACCGAATAAAGGATTGCCTTATTTCAAAGATTCCCCTTCGTGTTTCCTGACCTGTTTTTATTAAAAGAAGACCATAGGATGTGAGCCATGGAGACTTCTAGCAAAAGCACAGGTTTGTGCCCAAAGTGGCATCCTTTTCACTCTTGATAGGAACAAGACTTCCCTGGGGACCATCTGTTTCCTGTGGCACGGGAGGCAACCTCGCGGACCAAATAAACTGCCTTGGGTCTGACCAGGGTGATACCCTGGATGAAAGAAACATAGCACCTCTCTGAAACAGATGCTTCAGTTTATGATGGAAACAGAGGAGCCTGCAGGTGCGGGCTGGGCTGATACGGGCTCTGTGGAGAATCATTAGAGCCTCCTCCGAGATGCGGATTGACTCTGTGTTTAATCAGCCACAGGCAGAAGAAATGGCTTCATTTCAGCTCGATGAGAGCCAGATCACAAAAGGAAGATAGATGGCAAATCTGGTTCATCACTACAAGCATATTGTCTTAATTTGAAGGAACAGCCTAGCACCCATGCAAGTCCAGGAGGAGAGTGCAATATGGCCAGCATCGAGGGCCAGCTAACTCAACTCCCAGTGCACCCCTTAAGGAAAAGCTCTCATTGGTTTCTTAATTAACATTTTAAGGCAAGTGAGAACCGTAAGACACATTCCTCAGTCACTTGAGAAATTCCCCCGCTTGGAACTCAAGACGCTTGAAGGAAGGACTCTTCTTCCCTGAAATGTCTGAATCTCTACTTCTACAAAAGTACAGCGGCCAAAGAAGGAATGGCCATTTGCTGGCTGTTTGTAATACACGGTCGTCTGTGCAGTTCATCTGGAAATAGATTCGAATAGAAACAGTGCCGTGTCTCGGCACGTGGATATCTGCTGGTCACTTGTGGGCTCTTGTTTCCAGGGGCTCAGTCCTCTGTTTGCCTTTGGTCCTCCAGAGCTCCCGCTGGGGAGATGTGGAAAATGGATATTCTGTTCAGGCGCAGTTAGCTTGGCGATGGCCTGAAAATGCCAGAGAAGGGATGTTTAAGCTCGTGCGGGAAGAATCACACGTATCTGAACTCTGCGTCCTTGCCAAACCCCTCCCATTTGAAATGAAAGCAGATAATGAGCAGTTGGGGTACTTACAAACAAGTGGATGTTTTAGAATCATTTGGTATGTGTCACATCCATGTTTTCATTCTCTCCCCTGAGCCTGAGCACAAAGAGATTTTACAGCCCTCCCCACCGCAATGACTATTTTCCAGATGTTCTGAAACAACATCAAGTGACCCAGTTTACCCCTGAGAGGTTTATAAAGGTGCATTTATGGAGAGCCCGGCTGAGCGAGGCTGAGATGTTCGCTCAGCAGCTTAGTCTGAGATAATCTCCCATGAACGTCGTATCAAATCTTACTTTACCTAAGGCACACTGAGTATGGTTTTTAGCAAAAGATATGCTAAGTACTCCCAAAGTGAAGAAGAAACTTAAGAAGCTTAACAATGGATGTAGAAATATTATCATCAGCTATCGGGGTAATAGTATCCAGTCGTTCTTCACCTACAGGCACGGATTTGGGCTTAGGCAGATGAGGACAGCACAGAAGTGAGTGGTCTCAGTGCATTTAAATATCAGCAAGACGAGGCGAAGGACCTTGTTAGCATAAAACCTGAACACATGTCATTTGCTTTCTGTGCTGCATGGGATGAAAGGAAAATCACAATTGCAGCCATGGAAGGAAGCGTGCTGGGGACTTTCTGCAGATCACTGAAACAAGAGAAGTCATCCTTTATGGACAGGAGATCGTTTCATTCTTTTGCACATGGGCAGCGAGCACCAGAGCAGTCCTTGGGATCAGAACCCAACTCTTTATCTACATAGTGGAGGCGAGCCATTTCCTGAGGGCAAACAATATGCAGTCTTATGTGCAGTCCTACGAGAAGAGCCACCCATTCCTTCCAAACACGGGCATCCGGCGACGTGTCAAAATCTGGCGAGGAGGTGGGATCATTCTTCCCTAGCACATCTGCTGTGTGTAGCTGACGTTCAGTGGGACCGGTCCCCTCCCCAACCTCCAAAATAAGTGACATGCCAAGACCTTGATGTGAAAAGTACTTAATGTTCTATAGTATGTCAGTCGCCCAGTGGCTGAGGTGCAAAATGAACAACCTTCCCGGCATGACTTCTGTTATCACTGGCACCGAACCCAGTGCAGTCATCCCGTTGAGGTCCTTTACACATGAAAGGGAAAGTGAGCACGTGTAAGAGGCTCCTACTCCCGGCCTGTCCCAGAATGCCTGCTGTTCGCAGCCATTCACACTGCAGCCCTGGACATGCCACCAGCGAACAGGTGATGGTCCCTTCACTGAGTTCAGAAGTGGATGCCCCTTCACCTACTGAAAAGCTGCGGGGCGCCAGGGTGGATCAGTCGTTAAGCGTCTGCCTTCGGCTCGGGTCATGATCCCAGGGTCCTGGGATCGAGCCCCGCATCGGGCTCCCTGTTCCGCGGGAAGCCTGCTTCTCCCTCTCCCACTCCCTTGCTCGTGTTCCCTCTCTTGCCATGTCTCTCTCTGTCAAATAAATAAAATCTCAGAAAAAAAAGAAAAAAGAAAAGAAAAGAAAAGCTGGGAAGTCTTGGCCAGCATGTGACATGTTTGTCTGGCACAAACCCTGGTAAGGAAGCCGAATTCCCACTTTTGTGCGGACATGGATGCCTCCTCCAGATAAGACAGACTGCTCTTTGTTTTGGAAACCTGCGGTGTGGAACGTTAAAGACCCATCCTTTTGAGTCACTTGGCATGGTTGGCGCTTTTTGACTTCTGCAACTGATCTGCCCACAGTTAGAAACATCGGTTACCTTACCCTTATCTTAGCATCCTTAAGTGTCTGTGTTGTTCCTGGTCATCAAATTAGCTGCTTCCTCTCATTTCACATCCACTGACAGTTTTGGGTGGTTTGAGTTGAGTGGGGTGGACAAGGGGAAATTGGCGATTTCCTCTGCCTCTAGTAGAGTTAATCTCTCATCCAGATACTGCTAAAACATCTCTCTCAACAGCACTCTTTATTCCTAGTTTAGCAGCATCACCATAGAGAACAAATTTGTTCTTTACAATGCTCCGACTCAAAGTCCAAATGATAGATGGTTTCCTGATCCTGAAGAAGACACTTAAGCACTTGTATTTTTTTCAACCACTTCTTCCAGTTTGAACAAGACAGTTGATTTCTCATGTTAGTATGGGGCAAGCAGGGTATGTGTATGCAAACAAAAATGTCTGGCATCCATTCAAGAGTTGGGTGAAAATAAGGACCCAGAAAGAACGTTGCCAGCCAGAAATACTACTTTCTTGTGTCCACTATTCCATATCTGGGGGTTCCCTCCTGTCTGCACACATTTCCTCTGTTCTTAAAAGTCCTGTCTGGGTCTGCGGAGAGAACAAACTTCTTACCATGGATCTTTGAATGTTTTCTTAGTCTCCCTACCCCGGTAGGCCCAATAAAGGACACTTCTAGTTCTTAATCTTTGCTTTCTTTTGCATCAACCCCTCCCCTCCTGGACACCCCCACCTTTTGTGCCCTTAGTAAAACATTGGTCTCGACTAATTTTTTGTTCTGTGTACTACATCAGAACTGCTAAAATGTCACTTCCGTGACAATTCTTTCCACGAGGAAACATTTGCAAAAGCATCTTCAAAAAGGAGTCCTCCTTCCTTACTCCAACAAAAATATAGCGAAGTTTGCATATGTGTTTCTAGGATCCCTTTTCCTTCATAAAAGTCATTTTTCTTCTTCCTTCCTGATCAGCAGGGAGAGGTATCTACGCCCATATTCTCTTCCCAAGGGTGAAGTGGTATATATTTTGCTGTGTGTACTTGGCCCACAGAGGCTCAAAGGGACTAGCATACATTTGGGCATAGTAGTGATTTTCATAATTTTGTGACAAGTTTTCCAACCGGCAGGTCTCTGGGGGACCTGAGACCTGCTCCTTCCACCGGTGCCTCTCAAGGGAGCAATGAGAATCAGAAGCCAGTGGGGCTTCCCTCTTACGTTCGCAGAATGTGCTGAGAGTCCGCGTGTCCAGAATTCTCCCTGATAAGGAACTTTCCTCAAGGCTGAGCCATATGAAGTCTAAAGAGAAATCACTGCCACTTAGGAAACTGCTCCCCGCTTTCTTCTGCACTGCCTGCCTGTGAGCATCATCTGGGGGTAAAGTGTTATGAGAAAATGTATGCCTCAGAGAAACAGCTGTGTATTGCCACGGTCACTAACTTTTGGAAGATGTTAAAGGAAAGTATTCATTTCAAGCCAGTCACTTCAGCTACAGCGTCCCCTTTCATGTTTCAATATCATGATGTCTCCTTTTGGTCCTGTAAGTGTTACCTGGTTTCTCTCAAGAAGCGGGGGAAACCGGGACCCATCACTTATGGCCCCTATGAAGAGGGTTGGCTGGACACGTGGACAACATGTCAATCATTATTTCTGGTGGGGCCTTCGTAGCAGAGAAATCGCCTGGGTAGCATGGCTTATTTTAACAGAAGACAGATATGCCTGACCTGGGTTTTATGACAGATGTCAAATATATTGAAGTGTGTTGTGAGGCAGATCACCTTATTGGCAAAGAAATGAAAGACCACCAGGAAGACGGATGGGAAGCCTTCCTCAAGGGGTTTCCTGTCTCTTTGCGCAGGTATGGCAGTGAACCTGAAGAGGGGCCGACTGGCAGGCACGAGGAGAGACGTCAGTGAGACTCTGAACTTGCACCTGCCCGTGAGACTTGGAAACAAGAGTCCCTGCCTCCTGGAGTGACGTCGGGACAGTGAGGAGCAGGTGGGGGACGAGGGTGGGCACTACAGCAATATGAGGGAGGCCCCCCTGAGAGCGAGCACCTCCTTACATGCAACACCCAAGGTGCCTCCCAGACCTGCTCAAAAAATCTTGGTTCTCCAGCCTTCCCTCTGGAGTTTAGTTCAACCAAGATTTCTGGAGAGCGTACTATGTACCAAGCGTTGCGCCGGGCATTGGACATTAGTGCTGAAAAACACACGTTCCAATCAGACCTCCCCACCTTCGTTCTTCTGGGTCCTTCTGCCTGGGCGAGGTCACTTATTAGCTGCTGGGTGGTTGGGGAGGAGGGAAGTTGACTCACTTCTCTGAGCCTTGTTTTCCTCATCTGGAAAACGAGCTTCATAGAGTTAAGAGAATTGAACGTAACAGCGTCTGTATGTTTGCCTCCAGGACTAGATATAGAAACTATAAAGGGGAGGTGATGGCCAATCCACTGTTTACCTCTGATCCATAAAGACTGCTTTTGGGGTAATTTATATCACCTGCCACTAAATTAACTGCTCTTAGATCACAACCTTCCCATATGCCTAAGCCCAGAGCTCCCTTAATCAAAAATGGTAATCAGAAAACTGTGCCCTTCGGGACAGATGAATGACAAAAAAGGACACCTCTCCTCCACGTGGGTGTATCAAGCGCCAGGGCCTGGGCTCAGTTGGTGGAAGCTGGATCTCACTTTGCACAGTCCTGGGCACAATGTGCGAGCTGGGTAAGGGTTTTCAACTCAATTTATTACAGCCATTGCTGTGCAGAGAATGACAGCCTTCTATTTTTCAAAGAGGCCACTTGAGTCATTGGCAAGACACCATGGATACGTTGTAGATAAAATGTAAAAAGTCACCACAACAGTATTCTCTCCTCCTCCTTTTTTTTTTTTTTTAGATTTATTTATTTATTTTAGAGAGAGAATGAGAGAGCATGAGTAACAGGGTCAGACGAAGAGGGAAAGAGCATCTCAAGCAGACTCTGCACTGAGCACAGAGCCCAGTGTGGGACTTGCCACCAGGCTCCATCTCCTGACCCTGAGATCATGACCTGAGCTGAAACCAAGAGTCCAATGCCTAACCCACTGCACCCAGAGCCCCTCCTCCTGTCCTTTTAAAACATTTCTTCTTCAGAGTCTGTTGTTGAGAAAGAATACAGTATTTCATTCCTTCTGGTTTTACTGGACATAAACTGTTATAGGTGTTTTTGTGGTGACCATGAACTATGGGGTATTAACAGTAGCATGGATTAGGGAAAAGCATGGAGAAATAGTAACACAGATTATTAAGGAAGGAGATGTATGTATTTACACACATGGGACTCCCCACCATTGGGTAAGGTGGATGAAATAGAGACATTGAGAGTGATTTGCGGGGAAAGTTAGTTGTGATATAGAGTATTTGTTGGTTTAACTACTTTTCTAGTTGCTAATTCTGTAAAGATAGTTTGGATGCTAAAAGTAAAATCCATAATAGATGGAGGAACTGCACAGTCCCTGCTGAGCAGGGAGCCCGATGCGGGACTTGATCCCAGGACCCTAGGATCATGACCTGAGCCGAAGGCAGACACTTCACTGACTGAGCCACCCAGTGTCCCTTCTGTTCCGCATTTTTATTTTGTCCCATTTTCTAGAGATACCGAGAAGAGCAATCTTAAGAAAGTAGATCTTGTTCATTTCCCACGTTTTCCCCTTAGTCCCCTGGGCTTTTGACTAAGACCGCCTACGAAGAGGAGATGCTCTCAGAGGGGAAGTGGGACGGGGACCGTTTTCATGGGTGTCATCCTCCAAACCAGCTGCCAAGGTGGTTCCATGCTTTCTCTATGGAGCAGAAAATGCGAGACCCCCCTAGAAGGAAAAAGCAGGATCTAGTTCATGTAAAAGACAGGAACATGGTTAAAAACTGAACTGAACCAGGAATTGATCTGTATGTGAGGCGCTTACCTTTAGGGAGGTAAGGGCAGATCTGCGGCTCCTCAGGAGAGAGGGGAGTCGCTGTTGATGTCTATCTCTGAGGTGGGCTTGAAGTATCAAAGGAGAAATGAGTGTTTTCAGTTTGAATCTAGAAAACGCAGCATCTGTCATGGAAAGGAGGAGCAAATGTCTTTTCAACTGCAAGAGTATTCCACCAACTCATACTTTCCTTGCCTTTATTCGGATACCCCTTCCCTCTGCTCTTTTTATTTCCTTCTGACTCTGTATTAAATTCATTACGTGCTCTTGAGGGAGAGAGGTCAAATCGAGGTGTAAGATGCTATGAATAAAAAAAAAAAAAATGGGGAGGGGGTAGGAATTCACCGTTGCATCATTGCACTAAACGGCAGCTCATCTCAAGGGCTTGGTCCCCTTTCAGTGAAAAATACACCCTTCTCCTCCAGGAAGCTCCAAGTCTCAGAGGCCTTTATTAACTTGGTCTTTGGGAATAGTGTTTTAATTTTTTTCCGTAATCATCATGCAAATTGATCATGATAGTCTCTGGAAAGCAAACGGAGTGAACCAATGGTCTCATTAACTCCAAGGCTGGAAGGGCTCATGCTCGTGAGGGCTGGTGTCCTTACACACAGCGGCTCAGGTCTTCTTTGTGTGTGACTTGGTCCAGCAAGCTGTGGCTTGTTCTAGCTTGTTTAAATGGCCTCATGCATCTGACTCCTTCACAAAACAATGGGAAATCACTTGAAAGGTCTCAACCTTATGAAAGAAACATTTGTGTCCTGCGAGATTCCAACCAGAATTTCTAACTCTCCAATGACAGAACCAGACCATTGATGCACGATGCACGTGCTCTATCCAGGCCTCACCTTAAAGACACTGGGGTCTCGAATTGCTAAACTTTGTGCTATAAATTGAGTCAGCACTAAAATGTGTGGCTCAGAGGCATAATTCTGCATGTTGTTCTGCCGAATGAGGAGGGCTTTTTTAAAGAGTGTGCTTTGATTTTAATTTAACAGGGAGAGTGGCAGAGACAAATAGATCTGTCCAAAATATACTTAGTAACAGATTTTTGAGTTGAATTATTAATTTCATGTAAGCGGTTCCTCTTTTTATTTTTAGAAACTGTAAAGTTCGGGAGAAACAGAATCAAATGTAATACACTTTTACGGATGGCCCTGCTATGTGCCAAGCAAGGTGTCACATCGTTTCAAATGCTGCCTCATTTATCCTCACCTGACAGATGAGAATAAGGCTGTGGCAAGGGGTGCAATAGCTCGCCCAGCTGGAAAGTGGCAGAGTCATTTGCTGATCTGCCTCATTCTTGAAAAGGCTTTGACGCAACTCTTTGGAAATGAACTTCTTCAGAGCCATGTAGAGCTAAACTGCTTCCTCAGCGCATCCTGTCCCAAAAGTGAGTAGTAAGAAAGTTGCTGTAATTCTTGGAGCTGTGGGTACCAGATACTTCTGGCTGAGGACATGCCCTCAGTGGGTGTCCAGCATTTTGCCTTGTGCCCACCAGTGCCTTGCACTGGTTAGTTGTATCTGGGGCTGAAAAAGTCTCTCTCTTCCTCTTTGGGGAAAAGTGTCCCCTTCTAGTGAGGTACAGATGCAGTAGGTGCTCAGGCAGTGGGGGGCGGGGAGGAATACACATACGCTAGCTGGATTAGCTGACCGAAGCTAGACGCTTGAGTTAGAGCTGGGCTTTAGGGTACACCTCCCATGGGAAAATCCCTTTATCTCAGCTGTAACCCCTCCTGGTTGCAGGTTCTTTAAAGTCGATTGGACCTCTCTTGAGAAATTTGATAACAAATATGCATTGACACCTACTCTCTGTAAGGTATTGAATTGGAAGACAATGAAATATACCTTCAATCAACATTTGTTGAGTTTCCACGATATGCTAGAAACTGTGCTAGGTACGTCAGATACAAATATAAAAGGGCCTAATAACCTTGTAGGGGAAGGTGGAACTGTGAATGAACGCATGCAGTTTTAGAAGGATGATCCGCAGCAGAGCAACACAAAGGAGTGACTTGAGGAATGCTTTGGAGAGGTGGTAACGTTTATTTGAGCTCGGCCTTGAAGTTATTAGGAAGAGTTCTTCAGATTGAAAAATTGAGGAAAATACATTCTGTTTTGAAGGAGCTTCATGTTTACCTTGACAAAGTGAATATGTTATCGCCTTGGAAAGAGCCATGAACATGGGGTGACTAGTTGAGGTAGGTGGTGGATAATGGAGGTGAACTGGCACTATGGTTAATTTATCTGGTGGGATGGTCTTTTCTCAAGCTATGCTGAGAGGAATGCTGGTTCCTTGAGATGTTAATTGGTATTGTCTGGGAAAACAATACCAATTAAAATAAATAAATGCATTTTCATAAGATGTAGGGAACACTGGGTTAAGCTGTTGGATGGGGTTCTTTCGTGTAGGACTTCTCAGGGTCTTTACTAGGTTACTCTGCATTATAAATTTCCAAGGGCCTGCCTTAAAGCTATTTGTCTTTTCCTATTCACAGTGCTTTCAGGGTTCCCTGAGCCTCGCAGTGGAAAATACTTCTTTAAGGTAGGGGCAGCTGTCTGCAGTCTTTAAGAAGTGAATGGCTTCTATTTCAGAAAGAAACTTCGGGCACCTGGGAGGAAGAAAGCCCGTTGTGACAGACTGGACACAAGGTGACCTGTAACCGAGCTGTGAAAATCTTCTGGGCAAAAGAAAATAAGGGTCAGAATTAAGGCACTGAAGATGTAAAGGAGGAAATGGAATGGAAAAATAACTGGCAGGGAGAATGAATACTCTGTGACCATAAGGGGGTGAATGCAGAAAGTATTTGTGGGTAACTCCCTGGGGTCTAGTTGGGAAGCTCAGCAAAGAAGAGAAATTTTGAGTAAAGATGAAAAAGTTAATTTGGGATGTGATAGAATTGTGGTGTCTTTAAGACCTACGAATCGAGTTGGTCAACTCATCCAACAGTTGGAGATACTAATCTGTAGCTCAAGGTATATATGGGTATAATTTTATCTTTCTATGAGGCTTCAGATGACTCTTGATTATCTAGCAGTGTCTTAGGGGTCAGTATACTTCACATTGTGTTGCTTGACCATAAATGTATAGAAATGCAGGTTGTAGAGAGCTATGTTGAATAGAAAGCTGAATACAAACCATTAACTATATATACTAACATGTACCTTGCCCAGAAACAGTGCACAGGGAAAAGCAAGCAAACAAACAAACAAAAAATATATATATATATATAAAATAAATAAGTAAAGAAAGAAAAAGAAAGACACGACCCTTGCTCAAGGAGCTTATTATCTTAAGCCTACAGAAGATATGACAAGTGGTCAGATTACCTGTGCTAGGATTCTGGACCTTGCATTTGCTATATGACCTTGGGCAAGTTAGGTGACTTTGTAGAGCTTGGATTCTCTCATTTGTAAAATCGTATTTGTAGAATATTAGCATCTTCCTCATTAAGGAGTTATAAGTATTAGCCAAACAAAAATTGATTTCCTGTATTTTGAATGTATAAAATAATCTTTTTTTAGGAAATAATGTATGCATTGTGATCTATTTAATAAATTTCACTATTGCTTTATTTGATTTCCAGTTAATGCCAAATAATAACCTATCTATTTGAGTTGCAAAAATCAAGCTGGTTTGAATTAAAGAAGTGTGAAAAATTCTTGGGTTGGCAAAATACGTAACACTTTCATCAACTAAAAGTAGGTAAAATGTGTTAAAAATAATGAAAAGTCCTCACTTTAATTGAACCGGCTTTTTCATGAGCCTATATTTTTATGAAGCTTAATGAAACAAAAATTGAAATGTGCCCATTATGAAATCTGTGTTAATTGTTTTTATTTCCATAAAGTTCACATGATTACAAAAAGTTTTGCAGTGATGCCAGCTAGAAATGCACAGTACCTGCCTTTCATTTTCTCTGGATTTATTTTTGGTAATAAGGACAAATATTCATTTTGGCAAACAGCATTTGCTAAATTGAAAACTTCCTTTAAACACACTAGAAACTTTTGACCTAAGATTGCCAAAATTGCAGGGTATTTTTGTCAGTCTGACAAAACTTTCTTTGTTCTTCCTCGCTTCATCAAGAACAAGACTGTTTCTCCACTTACTGTTATTCCAATACGATCACAATCTTAAATATCTTTGGGCTAGAAGGCACTGCAATATTAATTAAAAATATAGTCTAATTATTTACCCTCGTTGGTTCCTACAAACCTCTACAGTATAATCAGTGGACTCCCTTAAGGGGTTTCACGGTATTTGGGAGTGAAATAGGGAGGTTTGTGACTCACACTGGCTCACGAGTGTAATTAAGTAGAACCTACAATTCGCCTATAGGTCACCGGATCAAATGTAACCTATCTGGGCAATGTCCAAAGGCAGGTGATGATGTTGACTGACCACTGCTGAGCAGCATGCGTGAGTGGAAGTTTGATTTTACTTCCAGGCATCTCGGAGAACATTCCGGGGGTTTCTGGAGACAAAGGGAAAGCAAGAGGGTGGCCAAATAGGTCATTTTAGACAGTTCTCAGGACAAAACTCCATAAAGCCACCCGAGAACGGCTCAGCAGGCTGACTGGCATTCTGTGACAATCTCTCCCTACTTCTGGCCTAAGTGCTAGCCTAGAGATGCAGAGAAATATTTTCTAGCTGTGAGAGGTGGGGTGTGAGTGCTCTTTGGTGCCTGGGGCTGAATCATCAGGGCAGAATGCCTTCTGGAAGCATCGCAGAGAGATGTTTCTAGGCCCAGCAGGGTGGTCAGATCTGTGTGTAAAACCCTATATCCTTGGGCTTACCTGGCATTTTTTTTTTTAAAGATTTTATTTATTTATTGGAGAGAGAGAGAGTGAGAGAGAGCATGAGAGGGGAAAGGGTCAGAGGGAGAAGCAGACTCCCCACCGAGCAGGGAGCCTGACATGGGACTCGATCCTGGGACTTCAGGATCATGACCTGAGCCGAAGGCAGTCGCTTAACCAACTGAGCCACCCAGGCACCTCTTACCTGGCATTTTTAAAAAAGATTTTATTTATTTATTTGAGAGAGAGAGAGAGAGAGAGCATGAGCAGGGGGGAAGGGTAGAGGGAGAGGGAGAAGCAGACTCCCCATCGAGCAGGGAGCCGGATGCTGGACTTGATCCCAGGACCCTGGAATCATGACCTGAGCCGAAAGCAGGTGCTTAATCGACTGAGCCACCCAGGTGCCCTTATCTGGCATTTTTTAATAAGGAAAAAGTTTCTTCCAGAAGGGGACTCAAAGCTTTCATTGGTATCCACAAATATGTCTCAGAAAGAGTAGTAGTAACAAAACTGACTTCATGGCATGAAGTGTCCAAATGTCACCCCACCCCTGTGCTTTAAAATTCGAATCGGCGTCTAGGAGCCCTACACAAATCGAAACATCAAATTGGCTGGGCTGAGGAGGAGGTGAACAGCATGACCAACCGCACAAAGTGGTAAAAGAGCTTGGGCAACGGGAAACGGTAGTAAAAAGAAAATAATATTTGATTTTAGACATTGAAACTCACATTGAGAGACAATGTGGATGATGAGAAGAAAAATCTAGTTTGGGCTAAATCTGGAAGTCTTTGAGTATCTCGAATATTCTTTTGGAATGTGGAAAACAAATGGTGTGGTTTAACCTCCATACAGTGACTTGATAAGGAGCGTCTCTATCCCCCACCCCGGAATCTGAAGTGGGGGGCAGGTATATGTGGTGACTTCCCTGATGGGAAATTCCCCCTGAAATTTTGGCCAAGGAGAGGCAAGAATGCAGAGTAGAAACGTGCTCTGCTTCAAAATTCAACAGGTGTTAGCAGTCAGGAAGGTAAACCAAGACGTTAGAGGTGTATGCGCGGAAGATGGTAGATGATGACTCCTGTGGGGTGATCTGTGAATAGGCAAAAGGATAAAGCAACCAGGGATTGCAGTGTTTGGGTTTCTGCCTGCAGAAAAATGACAAATCGAATCCTTGCCAGCTGGAGACTGACTCACAGAAATATGAGAGGTCATGTGAGATATAAAGTCAAACAGAAAGAGTTATATGGACACTCAAAAGGTTTTATTTTATAATGCGTTAAGCTTGCTATTGGGGGATTGGTCTGGAAGTTGGTTGAATCTGCCAGAAAGTGTTCCAAAATGCATCACATCTGTTCCAGTGGATAAGCTGTTCCTCCATCCACTCACTCAACAATATTTATGGAGGTCCTACTATGTGCTGGTCACTGGGATAAGGAAAAGCAGCCACGTTCCTGACCTCACAGGGCTGACAGTCAAATGATGTGTCCGAGGAGGGATGGCCCTTGCTGTCCCATTGGGAATGTGGGCAAAGGGGAGACCAATATGAGGTGTGGCGGAGAGGTGGACACGCCCTTGTAGACGAGGGCAGTATTTTATTTTGAATATTAAGAGAAACGAGGAGCCATGGTAGGGTTTTAAAGGAATAATATGATCAGATTAGCTTCCAGTGGTTCTCTCTCAACCTCCAACAGCGTTCTCCAGATGCCCCATTTCTCCCTACTGCCCATGGCCTTGGGTTTTCGAACAACCTCCGGAAATTGATGAGTGCACAAGAACAGTGGTGACAAGAAACTGGAGTGATGGGAATGGACGAAGAGTCTTTTCTTGAGTTTGGACCCTCATGACCTCACCACTGGACCACACAGTCATTCTCTTTGTCCTGGGTCTGATGCTTTCCTCTCCTTCCACACCAGTCTTCTCTAACAATTGCTCATATCATGTCCCTGCCTGGAAGCCTTCACCAGCTCCCTATGCTACAACTACAGACCTGCTTAACACAGCAACGAGGCCCTCCGTGGAATGGTGCCTGTCAGTCTTCCCAGTGCTGTTACCCATGATGTTTGCACAGTGAAACTTCCCAAACAGTTTCCACAGAATGCCCAGTTCAGTGAGATGTTAATCAGTGCTCTGTAGAAAAATGAGGAGAGGGTTCCACTAGTCAAATAAATTGGTAAAACAAATCCAGCATTATAACACCATCTTGTCCTTGAGATTCATAATGCAATTAACCTTACTCAAGGCTCTGATAAGTCCTGCAAAATTTCATTTAACTTAGCATTTCTCAAGCACAATTAACATCAAACCCTTTTCTGTGCATAACAACCATGGTCACCATGTTGAAAAGTTTGGGCAACACACCTCTGGCTAAACTTCTCACTTTTGCCCAGTTGGTCTATTTAACCCCAAATATGTCTTTTGAATTTCTAGCATGGCTTTCCTTATGCAGTTTCTCCTTTTGCAAAACTCTTCATTTTCTTCTCCTTCTAAGCATATCCAACTCCAATGTCACCTCCTTCGTGAAGCTCACCATGATAATCCCAACCCAGATCGATGTTGCTCTTTTCCTCACTTTCAAAGCACTTTTAAGCTTTAATACCATGTGGTATTTATTTACTGCCTCATATTGTTCCCTTTTATGCTTACGGTGTTACTCTTGACAGCCACAAAATTAGCATAGAAGTCTCTTTAAAGGACGCATGGTCTACTTTTTACATCGAAAGGCAAAATTATAAAGAACATGGGCATTGGAATAAAACGGTCATGCCAGTCACATTTCAGTTAGCCAGCTGCATGACGGTGGGCCAGTTACCCAGACTCTGTAAGTCTCAGTTTTCTCATCTGTAAATTAGGGATAATAGACTCTGTTCCTGTCGGAGATGTTGTGAAGATTGAATGAGATCAGGCAGAATATCTGACATACTGTAAACAGTCAATACATTTCAGCTACTATTGCTATAATCACCATCACTATCATCATTTACTACTGCAAACACAGTTCTCCCTTTGTTTGTTACAGTGATGATACCTGTCCAGAGTTCCAGGCCGTCAACATTCCTGAATTTTCTGATATTTGGCATCCAAACAGGCTGCCTCTCTCTTTGTGAAGGCAGAGAGAGGTATATTATGTGTACCCATTGCCTAGCAAGAATGGCCTTCCCCCAGGAGATGGAAGCCCTGTGGCTCTAACAGCCAGGTTCCCTGGATTTTCTGGTCCACCCAGATCTTAATAGTAAATCCCATCAGCAAACAAGGAATTAGTCCAATGTATGCGATTTCTGCTTCGATGCAAATGTTGTGCATGTGTGAAGAGGTGTTTGGCCCTTGCCTGGGACTGACTCACCTGCCTGGTCTATGCAGCCCCAACATCGGGCACCTACAGCTGCCAGTCAGTGGCTGGGTAGAACCAGCACTCATTTGCTTTAGGTGAGGTTTCTCTTGAATCTTGACATGTGATTGTCTATGATGTGATAGTTCAGCAAAATAAAATGTCAAGGGACCTTTTATGTTTTCCGTAGTAAACACACGTGAATTAAGAACAAGGAGCAATATATATGTGCGTATATACTTGTCATTCACGAAATGTTTACTGAGCACCTACTAGGTGCTGGGCACAGTTACAGGCCGTTGTGATACAATAGTAAAAAAGCGCCAGACATCTCTATCATAATGGAGCTCAAAGCTTGCCAGGAAGGCAGAAAACAAGTCAACAAATGAATCTATAATACCCTGAGTGGTGCTATGTGCTATAAGAAAATCGCAGTAGGGTGAGGGGACAGAGAATTGGGGAGGTCAGGGAAGCCCTCTATGTCAAGATGAAATTTAAGGGGTGCCTGGGTAGCTCAGTTAGTTGAGTGACCGACTCTTCGTTTTGGCTCAGGTCATGATCCCAGGGTCCTGGGGTTGAGCCCTACATCAGGCTCTGCGCTTACTGGGGAGTCTGCTTCTCCCTCCCCCCACTTGTGCTCTCTCTCTCTCTCAAATAAGTAAATAAATAAATAAAATCTTTAAAAAAAAAAGATGAAATTCAAGCAAAGGTAGGAAGGAAATGTGAGAAACCCACAGGCTGAAGGACTCTGACAAGGAAAAGGCAAGAGAAGAAAGCCGAGATGAAGGGGACCTAAATGAACATCATCCTCAGTGAGACTCCTCCTCCAACTTGGGACCGACAGCAGCATCCATCCAGGCATGGTGATCAAGACAGAGGAGTTCTGGAGTCCAGTAGACCTGGCTTTGAATCCTGATCCTACCACAGAATCTTACGTGACCTGGGGAACATTACTTAGCCTTTCTAAGCCTTGTGGTATTGCTGGGCGAAAGGAGATACAATGCTGTATTGAAACCCTTTTGCACAGTGCTGGGCGTATAGCAGATGCTCAGTAAGTGATCAACGTAGAAAGAGATACGGAGAGGCACATCGCTGCGGATGGCACATATAGATGGAGATAAAGATGGAGATATTCTCTGAAGGAGTTCAACTTGAAGCCCTTGGCAGAGTTCACAGGAAGAGCAGTAGCATCTCAGCCGCTGTGCCTGAACAGGAGCTGCAGTAACTCTACACAGCCCAGAGTCGACTTGCCCGCGGGTAATGTAATGAAAGGTGTTTTCCTCCCTTCGGGACAGGTGCTCAACTGATACAATTTAGAGTCTCAAATTCCAGAGCTTAATTGTTTGTTCTACATACAAGTTAGCCCAGCTCAGAACACCTGTGGACTAAGTTCTTTTGATGCACCAAAGCCTGTCTTTTATTAAGCTCTTTGCAAGCAGTCAAAATAAGCCCAACGTCCATGTGTCGCTGAATATGCACGTGGACATAAAACAAGGCAACATGAGAACTGCCCAGCAAGCGCTCAAAATAGCAAGTGAATCCCAGGGCTCTGGAAAATATGGTTATGTGATTAATGTAACCAGAGTTAGATATAAAATAAAATTAAATATTTTATATATATAGAGAGAAACTTGCCTACACACACATAAAATTCCCTATTAGTTGTACTTGAGGTTTAGCCATGTTGAATCGATAAAGAATGATTTAGAACGGATGGTTTTCAGCAGCTGGTTGCGCTTTCAGTCTTCCATAAAGAAGTTAAAATTAATTTTAA